TCTGTTTCCCCCTGTGTCGGATGTAAGAGTTGGGGGGATTAGTATGATCAGCACAGAGAGCACTGAGCCCCTTGTGTGGCCTGTTGGGAGGTTTCCAGAAGGCCTTAGGTAACACCGGGCTGGGTTTAACTTAGCAGAGGTCTCCCTAAGGTGCTGATTCCCATCCCTCCTCTTACCAAACTGTGTCTCCAGTTGCATCTGAGCTCAGCTGAGACTATTTCTTTTTTTTTTTTTAAGATTTTTTATTTATTTGAGAGAGAGAGAATGAGAGAGAGAGCACATGAGAGGGGGGGAGGGTCAGAGAGAGAAGCAGACTCCCTGCTGAGCGGGGAGCCCGATGCGGGACTCGATCCCGGGACTCCAGGATCGTGACCTGAGCTGAAGGCAGTCGCTTAACCAACTGAGCCACCCAGGCGCCCAGCTGAGACTATTTCTCAAACTGAGCACAACCACCAAGGAAGCTGATCTTCCTCAAAGCCCACGTCTTCAGGAATCCAGGAGCTCCTCCAAACACCCCCTCCCCTCACCCCTTTCTCCATCCAGCCCCATTACGAGCCATACCCTTCTTTCAACCTAAAACATCCTGGTCCTCGTCCAGCATCTCTTGCCTCCATGCTCACAGCAGCCTCCTCAATATCTCCCTGCTCCCTCCACAGGGTCCCCCCTCAGATCTGTTCCCCATTGTATTTCCAATGCATACCTCATTCATCACTCCCCCACCCCACTGCCTAACACCCTTCATACCTTCCCAGGGGCTCTATATAAGAAACAAAACCAGGGATGCCTGGGTGGCTCAGATGGTTAAGCATCTGACTTCGGCTCAAGTCATAATCCCAGGGTCCCAGGATCGAGTCCCACATTGGGCTCCCTGAGCAGGGAGCCTCCTTCTCCCTCTGCCTCTTCCCTCTGCTCTTGCTCTCTCTCTCTCACAAATAAATAAATAAATTCTTAAAACAAAAACAAAACCAGCCTAGAGACTCATCTGCCCCTACCAACCTCTCAATGTGGAGTGGGGTGGGATACCTTCTACTCCAGCCCCAATGGCCTTCTTTGAGCTCGTGATTAAAGGCTTCATGTTTCTCCCCATTTCGAGGCTTTTGCACCTGCTGGTCTCTCCTCCTGGTATGCTCCTCCCACTGCACTTCCTAATTACTCTTCCTTCTTTCTTCCCTTCCCCCTTCCCTTTTCTTCTCAGTAATCTCTACGTCCAACATGGGGCTTGAACTCACAACCTGAAGATCAAGAGTCCAAGATAAAGAGTTGTACGCTCTACCAAATGAGCCATCCAGGTGCCCCTTACTCTTCTTTCAGATCCCAGTTGACCTTGACCCCCCCATACACACACCCATACTAAATCAATGCTTTAAGGTGACCAGTTGTCCTGGTTTTCCAGGGAATGAAGGGTTCTTGGGACTTGGAACTTCCTGTTTGCAAAGCAGGATGAGTTGGTCACCCTATTAGTGCCTAACACATGGTCTTGCACAGAGTGGATGCTAAGGGAATCTTTGTTGAGTGAATGTGTGAACCGCAGCTGGTGGCCCCACTCAGGAGGGGGCAGCCGCTGCTGAGCTCTGATCACACATTTCCAGGCATCTGGGGCAGTCCGATATTAATAGTAATTACTATTCACCAAGCACTTACTCTCTGCCTTGCCTGGTGTTGAGTCCTCTGTGTTCGCATTTAATTCTCAATCACCCAAGTTACAGGTAGCACTCTCTTTTTATTGAGGTGAAATTCCTGTAACATAAAATTAACCATTTTATTTATTTTTTTATTATTTTTTAAAGATTATTTATTTATTTATTTGACAGAGAGAGGGAACACAAGCAGGGGGAGCGAGAGAGGGAGAAGCAGACTCCCCGCCAAGCGGGGAGCCCGATGCGGGGCTCGATCCGAGGACCCCGGGATCATGACCTGAGCCGAAGGCAGACGCTTAACGACTGAGCCACCCAGGCGCCCCAAAATTAACCATTTTAAAGCGAACAATTCAGTGGCATTTAGTACATTCCCAGTGTTGTGCTGCCATTGCCTCTGGTTCCAAAACACATTTATGACCTCAGAGGCCAGCCTTTAATCATTAAGCAGTTACTCCCCATTCCCCCCTCCCCTCCTGCCCCTCCCAATCCGTTGTCTGTCTCTGTAGATTCACCTCTTCTGGATATTTCATATAAATGGAATCTTACAATATGTGGCCTTTTACGTAAGTCTGGCTTCTTTATCCTTCTCCTTTGACACATGAGGAAATTGAGGCTCAGGGAGGTTGAGGAGCTGGTTCAATGTCCTTCAGCTAGGAAGGGGAAGAGCTGGGTGTTGGAACCCCCACATCTGACCATTTGGCTACACCCATACCCTGACTTCGGCCAATTTCCCCCACCTTACTCTGTTAAGATTCTCTGAGTTCAAGGTAAACCAGAGCAAAGGGTCCATGTTAGGTTTTTGTTTGTTTTAAATATTGGACCATAGCAATAATAACTAATATTTACTTATATCTTTTATTTTATTTTTTTAAGATTTTATTTATTTATTTGACAGAGAGAGACAGCAAGAGAGGGAACACAAGCAGGGGGAGTGGGAGAGGGAGGAGCAGGCTTCCCGCTGAGCAGGGAGCCAGTCGTGGGGCTCGATCCCAGGACCCTGGGATCATGACCTGAGCTGAAGGCAGACGCTTAACGACTGAGCCACCCAGGCGCCCCTATATTTTTTATTTTTTTTAAAGATTTTATTTATTTGTCAGAGAGAGAGAGAGAGAAAGCACAAGCAGGGGGAGTGGCAGACAGAGGGAAAAACAGGACAGGCTTCCCACTGAGCAAGGAGCCCGATGTGGGACTCGATCCCAGGACCCCGGGATCATGACCTGAGCCGAAGGCAGACACTTAATGGACTGAGCCACCCAGGTGTCCTGGGAGAGAGAGAATCTTAAGCAGGCTCCATGCTCAGCACAGAGCCTGTCGCAGGGCTCAATTTTATGACCCTGAGATCATGACCTGAGCCAAAATCAAGAGTACGCTTAACTGACTGAGCCACCCAGGCGCCCGTTTTTTTTTAAACAATCTTTCACACCTAACGTGGGGCTCGAACCCACAACCCTGAGATCAAGAGTCACAGGCTCTTACGATTGAGCCAGCCAGGCACTCCAGTTTTTTTTTTTTTAATTGTGGTAGAATATACATAACGAAATTTACTATTTTTACCATTTTGAGCGTACAGTGTTGTGCAACCATTACCACTATTTATTTCCAAATTTTTCTCATTACTCCAAAGAAAAACTCTGTCATCGCTCAGAAATAACTACCAATTCCGTCCTCCCCAGCTCCTGGTACCCTCTGTTCTACGTTCTGTCCCAATGAATTGCCCATTCTAGGTACCTCATGTAAGTGGAATCACACAGTTTTTGTCCTTTTGTGTCTGGCTTCTTTCATTTAACATAATGTCTTTTTTAAAGTATATTTTATTTTTAAGTAACCTGTACACCCAACGTGGGGCTCAAACCTACAACCTTGAGATTAAGAGTCCCACGCTCCACCTGCTGAGCCAGCAAGGCGCCCCTCATTTAGTATGTCTTTTTTTTTTTTTTTAAGATTTTATTTATTTATTTGAGAGAGAGAGAATGAGAGAGAGAGAGCACGAGAGGGAAGAGGGTCAGAGGGAGAAGCAGACTCCCTGCCGAGCAGGGAGCCCGATGCGGGACTCGATCCCGGGACTCCAGGATCATGACCTGAGCCGAAGGCAGTTGCTTAACCAACTGAGCGACCCAGGCGCCCTCATTTAGTATGTCTTTAAGGCTCATCCATGTTGCAGCACGTATGAGCACTTCACTCCTTTTTATGACGGAATAATATTCCACTGTATGGCTAAAGCACATTTTTGTTTATCCATTCAACTCTTGATGGATACTTGGATTGTGTCCACCTTTTGGCTATGGTGGGTAATGCTGTTATGAACCTTGGTGTGTAAGTGTCTGAGTCCCTGCTTTCGATTCCTTGGAGTATATACCTAGGAGTGGAATTGTTGGATCCTATGGTAATTCAATGTTTAGCTTTTTGAGGAACCACCAGACTGTTTCTCATCGTAGATGCACCGTTTTACCTTCCCACCAGCAATGCATGGGGTTTCCAATTTCTCCACATCCTCACCAACACTTGTTATCTCCCTGCCCCACCATTTTTTTTTTTTTTTAATAATGGCCATCCTCATGGGTGTGAAGTGGTATCTCATCATCAACACTAAGCTTTGAGGCTGGTCAAGAAGTTGTAAATGAAACTTGGTCAAATGGAAAGTGGAGACTTTCAGGAGATGAACAGAAGGTAGGAGAAAACAGGGTGTCATTGGGGTACCTAGACCTGAATGTACACAGAGATGGAAGAGACTCACAAAGCCAGCGCCGTTTTCAAATAATTTATTAGGAATTTAAAACTGAAAATAAAACCTGGAAAAAGAAGTTACAGATGTGGAGAGAAGAGACACCGGAGGGTGGTAACTTGCTGGCTTCAAAACACCGTGTAACATCTTTTTAAAAAATTCCCCAAACAAATCAGAAAACGGAATTCCAGGGCCCTGAGCCCATGGGTGGGCCCCGTGGGGGTGGGACGGGGGTCACAAGAAGGGGGGAGAAGGAAGCTGAGTCTCTCACGACTCAGCTCAAACGTGTAGAAAATTAACAATAAAAACCAATAAAATGCAGCTTCTCTTTTATTAGGAAACATTAAAAAAAAAAAAAACAAGAAAACAAAACAAAACCACAAACAGCCGCGCATCTCAGTAACAAAGATTATTGCTTTGTGTTCTCAGGGCTAATAGGTTAAGCACCTCACACAGACAATTAACTCTCCAAAGGGGGTTTTCAGGGATGGGAACTACGATGGGGGAGAGAGCTTAGGTCCCCAGCCTCAGACCTGGGGGAGAGGGACAGAGAGGGGACAACAGGTAGGTGGGCCTCAGCCCTGCCGTGCCAGCCGGGTCACTCACTGTTCATGAAGAGTCAGACCCTGAGCCTCTTTTTCCTTTGAAGGGGGCTTGGGGGGCTCGGGGCTGCCAAGGGGCTCTGGCCATGGGACCATCCTGGTGGGAAACTTCAGTGAGAGAATGTGGGGGTTCCCTGAGAAGCCCTTTGCTTTCCCCTGGGGTCCACCCCTTCCCAAAGTACCCCCTTGATGCCCGCTCATGGGGGGCTCAGAGCAGAAACCATGAAGGCCTGACCTAGGTAGGGGGCAGGGGGAGACCTTTGGAGAGTTAATTCCTTTCCAGCAGTGGCTCCGGGCGAGCCCTTCTCTTTCCTCACCCCTTGGCCCCACGCTGGGTTTTTGGGGTGAGCAGGCCCAAGGCCTTGACCCCTAGGGCCTGAGCGAGCGGGCTTGCCTTGGCCACAGTTGAGGCCTGCAAGCTTACAGTAACGGTGTCTGAGGAGGAGACAGAAACACAGGGGGACACCTTTGCCAGGTGGGGTGAGGCGATGCCCTCACCCCTAAGGGGTCTTACAGAGGGGTAGGGGCTTCACCTCACAGTATTTACATATGATACAGGACGGGATGGTTCCAGGGGCTTGGCCTGGCCGCAACCCTGTCCTCCTTTCCAGGACTGGAGGGAGGTGGCCAGGGGCCCACACCCACATAGACATTTTGTTCTCAGCTGGTGGGGGGCACCTGGCCCCTTGCCCCCTGCGGCCTGGGGCTTCACATTCACAAACCTAGAAATAGTTTAAAAAACGGTTTCTTAAAAAAAAAAAAAAGAAAAAAGAAAGAGAAAAGGAGGGGAAATCAGAATAAAAAACAAGCATAGGGCTTGCGGCCTGTAGCAGACCCCCTCCGCCCTCACTCTAGCTATGCACAAATACAAAAGCCTTCTGGGGGGGGAGGGTCCTATGGGGGTGCGGCAGGGAGGAAGGGGCGCAGACCTGAGAGGGGAGAGCCAGGGGGGTGGGGGCCAACCGGCTAATCCAAAATAAATAAAAGCGGGAGGAGAGGGGCAGGTGGGGGAGGGGAGCCAAGGGCGGAAGAGAGGGAGGTTAGTAGGGGAGCCAGACGCTGTCCGGGGCAGCAGGGCAGGGGCCGGGCCCAGGGAGTTGGGGGCAGGCAGTAGCGGTCCGAGTCGCTGCGGGGGGAGGGGGCGGCGGCTGCGGCTGAGGTGTCCCCGCCCCCTCGCTGGCTCGCTGTGGTCCTCAGTCAGCTGGAGGCTGGGGCGCTGGAACACAGCAGGAGGTTACAAGGAGGCCCTGCGGCCACCTGCCGCCGCCCCCGCCTCTCTTTGGGGGCTCCCAGAGGTTCTCGGAACCCTAGAAGAGCTCTGTTCACACACTTCGCAGGCTCTGTTCCCTGTTTGGAATGCTCTTTGCCTAGATTTTTGCATGACTGGATTTATTTAAAACGTGGCACCTTCTCAGAGGCACCTTCTCTGCACCTCTAATCTGAAGTAGCCCCTTCAAACATAATTTGTAAGTTCCTCTTTTGTCCACTTGATTGTTGTCTGTAGAATGAGAGAGGGGCCTTGTCTGTCTCCTACATCCCTCCTTCCTGAAACGGTGCTCAACTGACTAATAGTCGTTGGGATAAATGCAGGAAGGAAGGAAGGAACAAACGAAATGTCTCGGGTTCACACAGTAACCCCCGTGACCATGTGTGCAGAGTTCCCTCTCTCTTACTCTCTGGACATGTGTATATGTTGACAGTATCCCGTTTGAATAGCTGTGTAATATGCCGGTGTACGCATACGCTCTGGTTTACTTAACCAATTTCCTTTTGATGGGCATTTCAGTGTTTTGCAGTTTTTAATTTTTTTAAAAAAATTTTATTTAAGTAATCTCCACACTCAACATGGGGCTCGAACTCAAGACCCTGAGATCAAGAGTCACACCCTCTTCCGACTGAGCCAGCCGGGTGCCCTGGTTTTTGGCAGTTTTTTAAATAAATGCCTAGAAGTGGCCTCGTTGGGTCAAGGGCATGGATGTTTAATACCTGGGCACACAGTGCCAGTCTGCCCTTTGGAAACCCCAAGACAAAGACAATTTACATGTTGCTTCCCCTACACCTTCATCAATGTGGGGCATTAGCAATCTTAAAAAAAAAAAAAAAATCTTTTGTCTGACAGGTGGCATGGACTGCCTTGTTGTGCTTTTCATGTACAGTTTTGATGTAGCAGACTGAGCAGCTTTTCAGGTTCACTGACCACTGCTGTTATGAAAGTTCTGTCTCCCCCCCTGGACTGTGGGCTCCATGAAGGCGGGGACAAGGTCTGTGGCCCAGACGGGGCTGCCCGGTGCCAGCCCTCCCAGAGCCACCCCCCCACCAAGGCCCCGGCCCACCTCCTCACCTCCTGCCACCTGATTCCTGCTTCAGTGGTACCCATTGGTGAAAGCTGTGGCAATCAAAGGGCCCTGGGGAGAAAAGAATTTGACTCCTAGATTCCTAGGGATGCAGAGAAGGCCCAGGGGCTCCTTTCTTCTGAGGAACACCGAGGGAGAGACACAGACCTTTCTCTAGCCTTGCCCATATCGTGCCTCCCCCCCCCCCCCGCCGCAGATGCACTAGAAGATTCTCTGGGGTAGGGCTTGGAATCTGCATATTGCCAGTACCCTGGTTAAAATGAGGGCACTCCTGAGCTAGAATCTAGCCTCCATGTGGCCAGAGACGGTGAGTCTGCATGGTATCCCGAGCCCACCGAATGCCTGGCACACGGAATGAATGATGAGCCCCACTGTTCCCCCTTGGTGACCATCGTTTTCCATCCATCCTCCCTTGGCCCCCCTTCTGCCCTTGCTAACAGACAAAACCTTTCCCTCCTCCAACTTCTGAGTCTTCCAGGACTGGCCACTCACCCCAAGACTGTGGCCGAAGCCGGTGCTGGGGGCGGGGCTGGCAGCGCTGATGTAACTGCTGACCCCCGAGTCCTGGTTGGCTGCCCCATAGAGCTCGGCCATGGGGCCGGGGCTTGTGGTCCCCAGGAAGCCCCCTGTGCGGCTGGGAGTTGAACCTGGAGGGGGAGCCATCGTCCAGGGGTGAGAGCCTGGCAACCCAGAAAGAAGACGGTGATAGCCCCGGCGCCCACTGCTGCCCCACGTGCCACGACACCCCGCTCGAACCTGTTCCACCCACCGTGACCTTGAGCCTTCCCTTTCCCTCACCCCTATATCCCAGCGGGGTCTGTGGGTCCACCCGCTGGAGGTCTCCCCAAGTCCATCCACCGCCACCAGCCCGTCTGTCCATTTTGCTGCCTCCTCACTGACCTCCAGGCCTCCCCTCCTGAGCCCCTGCAAATTTTTCCCCCATCCGGCAGCCAAGTGCATGTTCCAAAATCGACATCGCTCCACTGCTTCAGTGTTCCGTGTCTCCACAGGACCTGGTTCCTCCTGCCTCGTCCTCCCCAGCCCCCATTCCTGTACTCCCCCCGCCCCCATACTAACTGGCCTCTGCTGGGGACACTTTTCTTCCTCTTTGCCTTCAAATTGGAAGTTAAGGAGCCGGGCCTCTGGGAAGCCTTCCTGAGAGGCTCCATCTGTGAGAGGCTCTGGGACCTGATTCCCCGCCCAAGCACAGCGGGTTCGTCCTTTGTCACGCCCGACGCCCCCCCCCCCCAGCCTGCAAGCCCTGGAGGACATGGGGTCTCCTTCCTGGCTGGCCTCCCAGGTGCTCCGTTAATACTTGTGGAGCAGATGAATAAGTAAGTCCCTCTGGGAAAGGGTGGCAGTGGCTACCTCCTCTCCTCTCTAGACTTCCCCGCCCCCAACACCCCTTCTCTGCTTCCTGCACCCCAGAAGACCTCACCTGTCCCTCGAACCACAGCCGCTGCTGCCGCTGCCGCCGCCATTGGTCCGTAAGCAGTGAGGGGAATGGCTGGAAGGAAAGGTATGGGCCCTTCAATGTGGTGGGCGAGAGGATGGAGGTGGACAACGGAGGCCCCCTCTGGGCAGAGTCTCTCCAGCCTTACCCCCCCCCCCAGAGGGTCGGGGCAGTGCCAGCATGGAGGCAGAAAGCACTCCCTTGGGCCACCAGCTGTGCCCTGACCCACGGAATGGATGGAGAAAAGTAGGAGAGCGGATGGCTTCCTAGCAATGGACTCGACCTCAGTTTCCCTCCTGGACTCAAGGGACACACTTGAACAACACAAAACTCAGGGTGGGGAGCGGGGCACCCCACCCTGAGCTGCTCTGAGCGATGCTCCCTACTTCAGAGAGTGCCCTTGGCTGGATGGACCTAGCCCAGAGGTCCCCAGGAGGTTATGGCCCACATCCCAACCACAGGCGACTGCAGCCAGTGCCTGACTGACATGGGGTTCAACAAGCCGGGCCTGTTGCCTCAAGGTGGGACGAACTCTGAGGTGCTAATGCATGTCCCAGAGCTCCCTGTGGGATCAGGCGGAAGCCAGACTCCGGTGCAGGCCATAATCCAGCTTCAATCCTTCTGCCTGTCCTATTTCTGTCACTGTCCTTCTCCTGAGGCCACACCCTCAGTAAATTGGGTGCACCCAATTCCACGCCTCAGGGTTCCCCTGACTGCCACCCAACCGGAAATGACCACTCTCCCCCCGAAACTCCCCTAGCCCCTTCTCTTTGGTCCCCTCTTCAGACACAGAGATACTGGTATTCCCTTGTTTGTGGTCTACCTCCACAGTGCCCAGCACCCTGCCTTATACACAGTAGGTATTTAAAAAATGGCTGCTGAAGGAGTAAAAGGAACCTCTTCTTTTATTTTTTCCTAAAGATATCTCTACAACCAATGGGGGGCTTGAACTCACAACCCCAAGGTCAAGAGCTGCATGCTTTACAGGCTGAGCCAGCCAGGCACCCCTAAAAGGAACCTCTTCTTAAATAAGTGGTTGGCTTGAACCTGGAGCTCCCTTGGGCTGGGGTAGTGGGGTGAGCGCCCCCTACTGCTTGGCTCTGCCACTGCAGAGCCAGAGTCAACTGGGTTGGCATTTGCCCTCAGGGATACGTTCTCTGGGGGCTGTTTTGGTGACCCTGACCCTGAACTGGTACTGGACTTGGGCCTAGGGACTCCGTAAATGGCCCCTGAAAATTCTTGGCAAGGCCTTTGGTCTGGGGGATTAAAGTCTGGAGACAGCATGATTCCCACACTATGAAGGAGCCTTGCCTAAGAGCCATACAGTTGACTCCTCACCCCGACGTCCCCTTCCTCGGCCACCCCCGCTAAGGCGGCCCCCTGCCCCTGGCCCTAAGACCTTAGAACATCTCCCTGTTTTATTTTCCTTGTGGAACTTCTCACCCTCTGCAATTATTTTATTCATTTGCGTGTCTACTTGTTTACTGCTCTCTCTCTCCACTGAAATATCAGCTCCAGGAGGCAGGGACCTTGTCCATCTCATTCACTGCTGTATCCCCACCTGGACCAACATCTGGCATGGTAAATGTCTACTGAATGCCTGAAGGAAACACCCACATCTCCTGAAGGCAAGAGAAAAGTTCAGACCCCAGACCTCCAGGGAAAATCTCCTCCCCTGTACCAAGCTAGCTGCTGAGGGGACATGTCTTCTCTCAGTTCTTTTGAGGGCAGGGGGTGGGCTCTGAGGTCTGGTTCTTGGTCTGGTTAGGCCTTTCCACAAAGCAAAGTCAGCTAAGCCAACCTGAGTAAGTGCTTATCACAACTGTAAAGGATTACTCATTTATATAATAAGTATTTGTTTTCCTCTCTAGACTGCAAGTCCTGTGAGAGCAGGGCCTGGCCCTGTCTTGTCCCTGTGCTGCCCCCAGGGGCCTGGCAGAGTGCCCCACATAGTAGGTCCTCAACACAAAGTTCTTAAATGAGGAGAAAAGAACCCCCCTTCCAACACCCCCATGGCGGGTCAAACCCAACTCTGCTCAGGGAGGGGCCTCTACCACCCCCCCACCTACAGAACTCTTTACTCCCTCCCCTTTCCTCATCCCCTTCCCCAATTTCGGGGGACCCCTGAGCACCCCTTGGAAGGAAGGTCTCATTGAAAGCAGCAACCATGCTCACGTCCTCCACACACGGCCAGGTTGGGGGGAAGAGTCTGGGGTGGGGTGGGGGGAGAAGCAGGTTGAACAGAGAAACCCTTGCAGCCCACCTCATCTGCACATGCCCCTCCCCTCCCCTCCAACTTGGCGGGGCCCCAGCAAGGGCTGCAGCTAGAGAGATGGCTCCGGACAGGGCCAAGCGCCTTCATCGGGCTTGCTCAGAAGCTGCAAGTGTGCAGCCTGAGGGCTGGATTTGGCCCTCAAATAGGTTTCATTTGGCCTGCAGTGGTTTAACAATTTGGAATTTGTTGCCAACATTTGAGAACGATTGAAAAATCCATTCAGAAGCCAAAGCCGTGTTTCTGGCTTTTCTCGGAAACGGAGATCTCAAAGTACTAGGTGTGCAACCCCTCCCGGCCAGGGTGGGCTGGCACAGAGTGGACGCATGCGCACTCCAGTCTGTCGAAGACCCCCCACCCGGCCCACTCTACTCTGAGTTTGAGACCCTGGCGTCTTGACTGCTGGATCCCAGAGTCTACTCGGTGCCTGGCACATGGGAGGCGCTAAATAAATATTTGCCAACTAGATGAATGAGTGATTTCTCCTCCATCTGCTGGGCTTGGCCCCATGCCCCACCCTTCAGGGCCATGTAGCTACACAGACTGGCCAGGGCCTGGGCAGAGTCTGTTGTGTTCCCACAGCCAGAGGGCTGTTGGACAGGAGAAAAGGGTCCCACTAGCTTTCCCCGGGGAAGACCCCTGGGTTCTTCTCTTTCTCCCCGTGCGGCCTGTGAGGTGTAGGAAATCCGAGCGACTGACCTGTAAGCTCGGGGAGGACTGGGGCGCTCGGGAGAGGGGTCCGCTCTACACGGAATTCTAAAATGAAACGTAAAACAGCTTAGGAAGGTGCAGGGGAGGTCCCTGGGGCACGGCCCAGGGAGGACAGATGCACCCACAGGGACACTGGGTAGGGGGACAGGCCATGCACAGGACCCAAGAGCTGGGATGGGAAGAGCAAGGTGCCCAGCAGGCAAAGGTGAAGACGTAGGCAGAGGAGAGACACGGAGAAGAGCAGGCAGAGTTGCCACCTACACCCTGGGCTCAGGGCGATGCCGGAGTGACCATTCTGGGCTTTCTTAAAAGATGTGACATTGCACCAAAACACCTCCCAGAATCCTCCTCTTTTCCTGCTTGTTTGTTTGTTTGTTTGTGGGGAGGAGCTGGTGAGGCAGCATTGATGGAAACCAGTGACCCCAGAGCAGGTTTGACTCAGGCTGGGTTCCTAGCTCCACCACTTTCTAGATGATGGGTCGTCTTAGCAAGTCGCTTTGCTCTCTGAGACCATTTTCTCACCTATAAAATGAGGATGGTCATCCTTCCCCCGTGAGTGTTGTCAGGATTAGACAACATAATGTCGAGAAAGGACTCCAAGATGGACAGCCCAAGAGGCAAAGGATGCAAGTGCTTAGGGACCCTCTAAAAAAAAAAAAAAAAAAAAAAAAAAAAAGGCCAAAAAAAGAAAAGGAAAAAAAAAGCATGCAAAAATTTGATGTCTGATATTTCAAAGAAAACAACACCGAAGAGCCATTATGGCAAACTTCAGAACTTTGTTGGGCTTCCTGCCACTTATTCTAAGGTCTAGCGTTATTTTTATTTTGCATTACAAATTAGGGTGGCGATCATCAGGGTTTTGGATTGCTTTTCAGCGTTCAGGGCCACAAAAGGTCTTATGGGCCTTAAAAGGGCTCAGCGGAGCACGTGGTCATTGTTAAGTGTGGCCATAAAGACACAGCTGGCGACGGCCCTCAGGGACGCTTCCGCCACAAGTCTGATGTCTTCTTTGGTGGAAGTGGCAACTCGGAATGGCGTGAGGAGGGGAGAAAGGCAGGAGGCAGGCAGAGATCGGCCTGGGAGAGAACCGTGCCATGCAGGACCACGCGGGGGTGGGAGGGGGTTATCCCCAGCTTCTGGGGAGGAGGGAGGAGGGGATGGTGGGGAGAGGTGCTCCTTCCTCAGACATGCCCTTCCTTCCAAGCCTCCAGCAGGCAGACCACCCCCCCCAGCCATGCACCCCCAGACACCGCCCTGAGGACCCAGACTGCCCAGGAACTGGGGACATGCTGGCAACAGAGGGACACCAAGCAGGACTTACCGGGGAATTGGTAGGTGTAGCCAGGGGCGAGGCCTGTATAACTCCGGCTGGCATAGGTTGTGGCCTGGAAACCGGGGTAACCTGATAGGGCAAGGGGGCTAGTGTTAGATGCCTCACCTAGCGCTCAGACCCTGCTCAGCGGGGAAGGATCTGAGCCACTCGTCTCCCTCCCCACCTCGTAGCACAGATAACAGCCACATTTACCAAACACCTTCTGCATGCCAAGCCCTGCGCTAAGCCCACTGCATACTTCATTCTCTCCTTAAGCCTCACAAGAATCCTAAGAAGCAGGTATTATTAGGAGCCCCATTTCACAGATGGGGAAAACTGAGGCTCAGAGAGGTGACATATTGGCTGAGAATAGTCCAAACCCTTACCAAGACGCTTCGTGCTCTGGCTCCTGCCTCATTCCTGTCCTCATCTACACTCTCCTGCAGTCACATTGGCCTCCCTGCTGTTTCTCAAAGCCACCAAGCTCCTTCCCACCTCAGGGCCTTTGCACAGGCTGTTTCCTCTGCCTGGAACACTCTCCCCCTGCCAGGTTTTCCCATGACTGTGTCCTTGTCATTGTACAAGTCTCAGCTCAAATGTCACCTCCTTGGAGAGGTCATTCTATAAGAGTCCTCCCTCTCATCAGTTACAGTATTTATCAATTACCCCACAGCACCAACGATCATTATCTGAACTTATCCTCGGTTGGTTTTTTTTTTTTTAATTTTATTTAAGTAATCTCCACACCCAGCGTAGGGCTTGAACTCACGACCCTGAGATCAAGAGTCACATGCTCCTCCAACTGACCCAGCCAGGTGCCCCTCCCAGGGTTTTTTTTTAAAAGAGCTGATTTTCTGTCTTCCCCATCTTTTATTTCTGTATCTCCAGGACAAGCTCCCGGTGCCTGCTACTTGTATGCATCTAATAAAATGTGCAGCTTTGTCAGAAAAATCATATAGTAATAATGAGTAACAAGAGTAATAATGCTGTAACTGGAATTCGCATTCAGAGCTAACTGGTTCCAAGTCTCTTAACCGCCAATGCCTGTATTGGTGTAATTTCCTTCTTTGTCATTTTAAATGGAGTGAAACCAGCTAATGAATCACCTTGAAAAGAAAACGGGTCTCAATGTTCCAGACCGAAGGAGGCTAGAGAGACGAGACAACTAAATGCAATACCTGATTCTAGCCCGGATCTTATGTGAGAGGGCAAAAACGTGCTATAAAGAACATTATTGGGTCAACTGATCAAATTGGAAAATAGATTAAAATATTGGAGCGACATAAATGTATGAAGTGGATTATCATCACGTGGCTTCATGAGCAAAATACCCCTAATCTTAGGAAATACACGTTGAAGTATTTAAGGATAAAGGGCCATAATGCATTTAACTTAAGCTCAAATGATTCAGTGGAAAATTACCAAAGTATTGTGTGTGTGAGTGCGTGTGTTTGCGTGTGTACATACATACACACATATATGCACACACATATGCATACAGAGGTAGAGCAAACGATAAAGCAAATGGGGTATAATATTAACGGGTGAGTCTGGTAAAAGGTATATGGATATTCTTTGTACTGTTATTTTTGCAACTCTTCTGAAATTTTGAAATTACTTCCAAACAGAAAGTTAAAAAAGAAAACTTCAAGAGAAGACACTGCCCTGTGTGGAGTCTGCTCTCCTCACCCACTCTATCTGTGATCTCCATCCTGACCTTCCAGCCCATGTCATGCCCACCCACCACCCCCCGCCTCTGAATTGCCAGAGCACCCCTCCCTCCGTACCTGGCAAAAAGACTCCTCTGTACTGTTCTCTTTCTGTGTGTACGCATCTTGTCTCTCCAGGGAGACTGCGAGCTTCCTGAGGGGCCCAGCTCAGATTGTGGGCCCCAAACACCACTGACTCCTACTCACCTTCCAAGGCGCATGGCAACCTGCACTTACTCCAGGGAGCCTCCTGGACCAGCAGGTGGGTTTTGGGCGCCTCCTTGGGCCTCCCACAGCCTCCCATCACTATATGCTAATCATTGCCTTTTGACTCATGCCTCCTGCTTGCTGGGAAAGCCCAGGAGGGCAGGTCCTGCCCCTCAGAAACTGCTCAATAGATATTATTTGGGTGAACAAGCAGCAGCTGCTTTCTTTTTGCTCTCCGCAAAGTCTTTGGGTCATTGTAAATGCTGTTCCCTCTGCATGCAACACTTTACCCTTCCCTTCTCCCCTGACCTCCTGTAACTAGCACCTACTCAACCCACAGCCCTCAGCTTAAATGTAACTTCCTTTCTGCCTTCTCCAAACCTCGGTCCCAGTTCTCTATGCCCATGCTCTCTTGGCCCCCTATCCTGCTCCATCCTAACCCTACTTATTTATATTCTTACTTGTTTTCCCTGCCAGACCACAAAGCTCCAAGGAAAGTCACTGTTATATTTGCTGGCACAGTTCCTAGCATTTATAGTTGCTCAATAACTACGACATGGATGGACGGGTGGATGAACATATGGACAGATGGACAGAAGGATCAATGAAGAAGGAGCAGCTGGGCCATTTTCTGGCTACCGCCAGAGGGCAGCACCCCACAACCCAATGGCCCCACCCTGGGTTGGCTTGGAGGCTTGAGATACTTGGTCCCCACTCCTGCCCAATGACTCACGCAGGAGGGCAGACCACAGAGGAGAGGCAACACCTACGCAGCCCCTGGTAGCCCTGGGAGCAGTTGCGGGCAGGAAGTAGCCGCAGGTGCAGGCCTAGCACATACCCAGCATGCCAATGCCCAGCATGAAGGCGTCCATCCCATAGGGCATGACTCGAGACCTCCCCCGGGCTGAGCCCGTCGGCGACATCACCTCTTTTGGCTGAGCTTTCTTACATTCCACCTGCAATGAGACCTGATGGTCAGTCCCTCCTCCGGACGTCGGGTCGTAGACCCTTTGGTTCCCTAGCCGGCCTCCTTCCTGTTAGGTTCATAGATACCATTTATGGAGTGCTTGCTGGGTGCTAGAGATTATGTAAACAGTTTTGCAGGCAGTTACGGCTTACACCAAGCCCATGAGGGGGGGTAGTACTGCCACAGATGCAGGGAAGTCATCTGCCTAATGAACAGACTAGCAAGTGGCAGAGTGAGGATGTTAATCCAGGACTGACTCCACGAGCCATGCTTTTTAACCACCAGGAGACACTGGCTTCCTGTCCAGATCTTCAGGGGGTGGGAGAACTGGCTCTGCCCCCATGGACTGTGATTCCCTTCTGCCTGCCTCCAGAACCTCCGAGCGCCCGTGTCTCTCTCTCTGCACCTCCACCCGTCCGGTCTCCCCCCCTCACCATTTTGTTGTTGATTTCATGGAAGTGTATTTCACACACTTTCTCCACGATGTCCTCACTCTCGAACGTGACAAACCCGAACCCTAGAGGGCAAAGGCAGGGACAAAAACCAGGGTTTATGGTCAAAACCCAGCCCCGAGTGATACCACACCAGCACTCCTCTTTCAAGGGCCAGTGCCTGAGAGTTAACGGAAGCCTCTGCCCACAGCCTAGGAACCTCTCAACTCCCCTCCTGCTGAGACAGGGTTTCTAGTCCCCACATTACAGATGTGAAAGCCAAGGCTCAGAGAAGCGAAGTGACTCGTCCAAGGTCACACAGCAAATTAGAAAAGCGTTAGAGCAGTCATGAAAATACACTCAACATGCCTTTTCGCTTTCTCAGATGCTTTCCAAAGGAAGGAAGAACACACGCAACACTTACGTACATTTACACAAAAGTGTACACACCCAAACCTATGTTTGTACAGTCACACATATACATGACATACAGATGTACACACACACACACACATATATACCTAGGGACCCATATATCATACAGAAACTTGGCAGCGCTCACAAAGGCCCCCTACACATGAAGAGTTACCATGACACACAAGACACATGCAAATATTCAGACACAGACACACTCGTGTGCACAGATACAAATACACACATACATACATACATGCACACCCCAGCACATATCCTAATCCCCAAACAGGCTAATACACCCTGAAGCAACTGGAGAAACCGCCCCACCTCCTCCCGGGTGTGCCCCAGGGGTTGGAATGGGATTTCTCAGAAGGCAAGGCCCTTGGGAGAAAAACAACCGGGCAAAGCACACTGTGGCCCAGATGCTCACAGGTTCAGGGGCAAGGGGCTTGGGGGCTGGGCTCAGCCCGTGGGTGGGGGTGGGGGTGGGAGCGGGAGCAGACTGTGGAGTCAGCCTGACCCTGGGGCGGCCTGGCCTAAGCTCTGGTTACCAGGGACAAGGTAAGCCCCAGTAGACACCGGCTCCGACGGGGGCGAGGGGGGGATGGCGGGGGGGCGGGGGGCATTGAGGGCTCAGTTTGGAAGGGGGGAGGTTGCTCCTCTGCTCCGCCTGGGTGTCTGCAATTGGGCAAGTTTCTAGCACAGGAAACGGCGGGACAAAAGCCTTCTGTAAGGCCAGGCCCCGGAGAGGATGCAGATCCATGCAGATCCTTGGGGATAGGATGTCAGGAGGCAGGATGAAAGGGCAGCCGTGACCTGCAGCCCCCTGGCTGACCACAGGCCCCCAGCCTGGCCTGGAAAGGGGGAGGGGGCCACACTCACCTCGGTGCCGGTTGGTGGTTTTGTCAAACATCAACATGGCATCGTCCACCTGAAACAGAGCCTGCCATGGTGGACCCGCCAGAAACCAGGGGACCTGCCACAACCCAGCAGCAGGGGCTCGCTCCCACACCCACGCCCCTCTCACGCAGGCTAAGCTCTCTCTTAAATCTGCTCCCTGTGCAGGGGATGACTTTCCATCTGCAACCCCACCTGGATGCCAAGACACCTCCCATCCAACCACCAGATTCTCAATGGACCAGACTGCAAATATGAAGCACCAAATATGTGCCTGGCACTTTGCCCCATCATCCTCTCTACAGTCCCTGCCATGTAAGCGCCTCATTTTGTAGATAAGGTAAAGGGCTCAGAGAGGTGAAGTCACCAGGCCAAGGTCACACAGCAAATCCTAGGCCAAGCCTGGGAGGAGGAGGAGGCGCGGAGTGGGTGCTAAAGAAGGAAACGTGGGAGCAAGATAGAAACGGGGAAATGAAAGCCTCTTCCCTTTCTGCAAAAGGCCAGGAGGACGGCAGCCACTCCAGCCAGACTTGACTCCCCTCTCCTGGTACAGATCTTTTCCTCTAATTGAGGTTTCCTTTTGCTAGAGGCTGTAATTAAAGCAAGTAGAGTTCAGTGCCTGGGCTGCTTGCCTCCCACTGACTGGGGGAGGGGCAGGGGGCTGAGGAAGGGGGGTGGGCTACATGATCCACCCCCCTCCCTTGCACCCCAGTCTCCTCTTCTTGCTCCTCCCTCAAGGCATCCCCTTAGATACATGGACAGCCAAAGGCCTTAGCTTCCCTCCTGCAGTCCCATTTCCCTCCCTTTACCTACAGCGGGCGCTTCCTCCTCCTTCTCTTAATTCTTCAGCCAATGTCAGCCACCTCGTGGGGTTAAGCTAAGGTCTGATTTGTCCTGGGTGGAAATCAAGGGCTGCTTCGGATACCCTCCCCCCACAACACACACATCCCAATTCAGCCACTGACCCTCCCCCAAATGGTCAGACACCCAAGGGATGAAGGAAAACTTCCTGAGGCCATGGGGTACAGCCTCTCCTCCACTCTCCTTGGCTGTCTTTCCAGCCTGTCATCTGCCTCATTAAAGTGGCAAAGGCAGCCCCTGAACAGGGTGGCCCCCCAGCTCTCCTTAGGTGCCAAGCAGCACCAGGCCTCTGACGTCCCCCTGGGAGAACCAGGACCCCACTAAGTCAGGAGGCAGCTGGGTCCCTGGAGGATCTTAGAGAGAAATGACACCTCCCTCCCCAAGGAGCTTCCTGCTCCAGGGGCCTGCAGCAGAGTGCCTCCGACACTCCCATCCTTATGGACCCATTCTGCGTCCCAATCCCAAATCAGCTAGACCGTCCAAACTGGGCAGACGCTTTAGGCTCCACACATCTTCCCCACCCCCTTGCTTAAACAATGGAAAAGAGAAATCTAGAAAGGAGAGTTGTGATAAAAATACAGGCTTTAAGTAGGACAGACTGGAAATGGAATCCAAGATCCCTGCCTTTGCTGGTTGGGTAACCTTGGACTAGGTTTCCTCATCTGTAAAATGGGCGTAACAGTGTTTATCAATTGTATAGAGGAGTTAAATGACATGGCACTTGTAACACGAAATCACGTTACCTGGGACACAGCAAGTGCTTAATAAATAATAGCTATTGTGACCTTTATTATGGAGGGGCTCGCCCACAGTCACATGGGCGAGAAGCAAAACAAGAGAGAGAGAGCAACCCAACACCCCTTGCTTTGACGGTTCCATTAGGACAGCGCCCAGGTCAGCTATGGTGATGGCCATCCTATGGAGCACCTTGACTTGTACTCAGTAATTATTTTTTGAATTAATGAATGAATAAAAGCCACACCCTCTTCCTTAATCCCATAGCTCTGAGTTCCTGCCTGACCCACAAAGTGATTCAGCCCAAATCCACAGCCGTTCTGGCCTTCCTTCACCCAACCCTCCACCTCCCACCGTTCCTGGCACCCCAGACCCTTCAACCCGGCCTTGGCTGGACAGACCCCCAGCGAGGCAGTGGGGTTGAGGCCAGGGCAAGGAGCAAGGAAAGTGGCTGGGGGTCCAGGGGACCCCCACTGGTGTCCCCTCTGGGGCCAGCTGAGGGGAGGGAGGCTCCCAGCCCAGTGTCCTTAATAGGCTTTGGTCTCCATGGGAACCCGGGGGCAGGGGGGCTCCGGCAGGGGGAGGGGAGGCGGCCAAGGCCTGCTGACCAGTGGGAGCCGCCAAGTTCGGCGGCCGCTAAGCCTGAGTGGCAGCCATGGCGGCTGACCATTGTTCCCCCCTCGGCGGCGGCCCCTCGATCCGGGCGGGGGGCCCCCCGCCGCGGGGCCCTTGGCATTCCCGGCTGTCCCCCTCGCTCCCTGGCAGCCTATTCTCCGGCTCCCCCTGGCCTCCCCGGGCCGGTTTCACATGCCAACGCCGATTTAGGCCCGAACAAAAGACGCGGCCGCTGACGGCTTCTCCTGGGGCCCGGTTGCCATGGCAACGCCGGCCCCGGGGGCAGGCGGCCTCCAATCACAGCTGCTGGATCAGATTAGTGCGAGCTCTAATGCTCGGCGCTCAGACACAAAGACACCCCGCCGGAGCCGAGCGGGCCTGCTGCTTCCCAGGAGCGCCCTTCCCTCTGGGGCCCAGGCCGCCGACCTGCCCTCCGTCCTGTACCCGGGTCCCCACGGAGGCGCCTGAGCCCAGGCCTCTGGCCCCCACGCCGCCAGCTGCCGCTGGCCAGGGGACCTCCCACCCTCTCCTCTTCTCCCCTAGAGACAGGGCCCTGGAAACCCAGCCGGTCCCCAGCTCACATCCCATTCCCAAGGCCGCTGCCCTTTGCCTAGCAGACAACTGAAAATGCCTTGCTGGGCAGGTAGAGACCCAGCCTGTAGCCTGTCTCACGTCATCGAAGACCAGGGACCCGAGCACTAAGCACAGCAGCCCTCCTTCACCCCCAGTCTTAAAACTTGGCCCCCTCTTTGCCATAGCCCCATGGGACCTTGATGCTCCCATCACTCACCTTGCTGGGGACAACCTATTGTCTGATGATGCCACATCTCCTTCGTAAACTAAATGGTCCAGAAATTTAAGCTCAATGCACCTCAGAGCGGAGAGCCAATCTGCTGGGCCTGATCAGGAATTTAGGGTGCTCTCCTCAGTGCCCCCCTCAAATAGCTAGGGGATCAGCACCTCCCCCGCCCCAGCTCCCACCTGTGCAAGCTGGGCGCTGAGTGCAATTGGGAATCATATTTATTGCCTCCTTATCATCCTCACCAGGAAGGAGTGGGGGAAGGTGCAACCGCCCGTGGCCTGGACAGGTGCAAACTCCCAGGAGGCCAAGGGGTGACTGGATTGAACTGGCTAGGGGAGAGCAGCCTCCCTCAGGAGAATGAAGATAAGCAAGAGAAAAACAGGGGGAGGGCAACAACAGGGACAGCTACTGTGTGGCTTCTCTCCCTGGGGATGTGTCCAGAGGCTGAGGCCCACAGATAGGAAAGGAGCCTGAACCGTGAGGAGCCTGGCCTCACCCACAAAAGGACCCAGTCCCCTTTTCACCTATTTTGCAGGAATTGGAATGACCTGGCTGGACTCTGCTTGTACTGAGCAATGCTACAGGGCTTCCATAGCCCCTGAAAGCACCCCCAGCAAGCACCCCCAGTTTTGACCCACCTTCCCAAACTGCTCAAAATACTGCTTCACGTCCTCCACCGTGGTGTTCACTGACAGCCCCCCCACAAAGATCTTCTTCGTTCGAGTCACCATCTGTTAAGGGGAGGGAATGAGAAAGTGGGCATCTGAGTCCTGTGGCCTACTGCCACCAGCAGGGGCCCGAGCCCTCCTGCCAGGGCACCAGCTGACAAGCTCTCTGTGGCCCTAGCTACTCGGAAGGCCGCCCCCCCCAACTCCTGCTTGGACCCCCGCCTCTAGGCCTGTTATGGGCAGCTGTGCACCCCACACATTCGCTGGCCGGAGTGTGCCTCCCTCCCGCCTGCATCCCTGGGGTCTGGGTAGGAGAAAATGCCTTCCAGAAGGACCAACACAGGGAAGGGGGCAGGTTAGTGACCCAGACCTACAGCGTAACTCAGAGACCCCACCAGCACCCCTGGGAGAGACCGAGGCCCATCACAGGGTTCCCCTGAACTCAACGCCGACATTTTCCTCATCAACCTCCTCCCAACCCAACCTCTGGCAGCCCTGTGGCCCCAGCCCTGTTTTAGGAAGAACACATGGTCCTAATTACCCCAGGAGCGCATGGCTAATCCACAGCAATTCCCAGCCCCATCCTAACACTAAAGCACCTTCTGTCACCAAACTGCTTAATGGAATTAACCCAATTCCGACCATGTGCTCCCTGGTGCGGCTTCCTTCGAATACCTGCTCCATAATTGCTTTCAGGCCCTCTGCTGGATCCTTCAAGAGATGTCCCCTTCCTGTCTCCTAAAACTTGTCCCTCTCCCTTCGCTGGGGCAGGAGCTGGGCACCATGGTGGAAGCCACTGGCTCAAAACCTTAAAGCATCCTGGTTCCTACCAAACCCCTTGCAAAGGGGGAAACATCTACCGGAGGGGGACCTAGTCCTAGGACACAAGTTAAGTCAGCAGACTCGGGGGTCCTCAGCTCCCTGTGCTGTAATCAGCCTTCCTTCCTGTCCCCTATATTTAACCATTTAAAAATTAAGATCTGGCTATTTGCCTTGGGGCCTGGAATAAAATCTCAGGCCCCTACATTGCACCAAAAGTCTTGAATGCTATATAGCTCAACTGCTCAGAATGCACACACACCCAGAAAAACTTGCCACAGCACTGGGGAAAGAGAGCACTGGGAGGGTAAGCATTCACTCAAGTTGAAAGACAAGAGGTGACCAACTCCATGGTCCCTTCCCCCTCTGCAAGCTGAACACAGTGAACTCCAGAGGTAGGAAGGTGATTGGGGGGTCAGAGATAGCTCCCTGGCCTGATACTAGCTCAGCCTCAGGGGGTGTCTGTCCTGGGTTTGACCTCCACAGGGGCATTGGGTTTAGCCACTGTGATCTATGAGGTCAGAATTCGACTTAAGGTCCAAAGTGTACTGGCTTCAAATACAGGACAATGAATCCCCTGAGGGGTTCCTCCTTCTCCCAATACATGCAGCCCCCTCCCAGTCCGTCCCAGAGCACAGATGGAAAGATGCAGGATGTCTTCAATCCACAGAGCAAGGACATTAAGAATCCTCCCTCTTCCCATCCCAGTCTATTCCAGAAACACTCCAGAGGTTCCAGAAGCATCTCCCACAGAAGGGAATCACTGCCTAAAGTAGCACAGCTCCTCCCAGACACAGACATACCCACCTTAGGCTGTGCTCGCCGAGGAAAGGCCACCTTGGGATCAATCTGAAAGAGAAGGGAGAGGTAAAGGGGCCTTGGTTATCGCACTTCAGATGGGTGACCACACAGCCTTCAGCCCTGAGGACTTCTCTCATCCCAGGACACAGAGGTGACACAGAGGGGACAGAAATCACCACAGCCTCTGGCAGAAAAGTATAGTGGTTAAGCATTTAGGCCCTAGTGCCAGGCTGCTGGGTTCAAATCCCACTTACACTGTTTCCCAGCTGTGAGACCCTGGGCAAGTTACTTAACCTCTCTGAGCCTCAGGGCCAAGCTCTCCTGCAAAATGGGCAAAAAGTAACACCGATCTCAAAGGGGTCCTCCACAGACTATTTGAGATAATGCTTACAAAGCACTTGGCAAGGTGTCTGGCTCACAGCAGGAACCCCAACAAAGTAAGCAAAGTCTTAATTCTTCAAGCACAGGGTACTTGAGGGCCCTCCTCACCTAACTGACTTCACACAGATACCTGTCTAGGGGAGGCATGCAATCCAGACTTTGGAAGCCTTGTGGATGGAAATACTCTTTGCTTCAAGGTAAGAGTTCATAAATCACCAGGAATGGACTCAATTCTGTTCCCCCAGTGCTATCGACATCTAACAGCCCTCCTTGAGGCTGCAAGCAAACAGCTCCCTGATAATGCAGCCAGGTTTGGAGTGAATCAGAGTGCAGCCTTTGGTAACGTGCAAGGGCATGGGACTTGGACTCCATCAGAAACTCTGGGCTCCAGGCCAAGCCTCTGATTTTGGTAACTTGCCCACCCCTGTGAGCCTCAGTTCCCCCATCTGCAGAGTGGGGATAATCACACGCACTTTCCCAGGGGCAGCCATGGGGAATCAAATGAGATAACACGGGTGAAAGCAGCCCTTTGTGAACTGCCCCTCATTGTGCAAACAAAGGTGCTATTACCACGGGCCACCTTTGCCCTTGGCTGTGAACAACCAAAGGAGAAAAGCAAGATGCACCTGGGTGCTCCTGGGTACTGATAAACAGCAAAAGTCAGGGCACGAGACATTGTGATCAATGCAGGACCTATGGGGCCTGGTCATTCCAGAGTTTCTTGCCATCCACATGGGTGGATACCACTCAGAAGTTCACCAGCCAATCGCAGGGAAGATCTATCTTTTCCCAAAGTTCCTTCCGTTCAAAACTCAGCCTCGTTCTAGGCAACTGGCGCTGGCTCCTCTCTGCCGAAATGGCATGAACCAGGGACCAGCCTCCTCTGGGCTCCCCCACTGGATCTGCCCACAGAGAAGGAACCTCTAAAATCCATGCTGGGGCAATGTCTCCTCTCTCCCAAAGTCCCACTGGGCTCCAGGGGAAATCACGACTGCCCATGTGTGTCTGAAGGTGTGATTTCGTACCTCTATGGACATTTTCATCCTTCTCTTTCTCCTGGAAGCAGCCTCCCCAGCCACCAGAGCACCTCAGACAGTCCCCCTGCGCAGACCCTGATGGGGAGATGGTACCCAAGCCACGTCCCACAGACCCACGCACACCCGATCCCTGACACACCCCACCTCCACTCTGACTCACAGCTGGTAACATAAATAAAACCCAACAAGTAAATAAAAGGTGAAAGTCAGAACCCAAAATAGACTCCCCGCAATAAACCTCCCTCCCACCCCCCTCTCCCAGGCCAGCGAATGCCAAACACAAAGCCCTTGCCTTTTTGAGTCCCAAACCTCAGAAGGATGTCCATCACACCCCTCTTCTCTCTTCTCCTTATCAATCTTCCATGACCCCCCCCACCCCACCCAGCCCCAGTCCCTAAATCTCAGCTTCCTGAGCTCTGCTGAAGCCATCAGTGCATTCTGAGGACAGGGGATGGTAGGAGAACTGGCAGCTTGATGGCAGATAATCACCAAAAACAATAGGGCACTGTCTCTCCATTCCCGGCTTGGGTCACTCAGTTTGCGCCAAGAAGATCCTTTCAGAGCCGGCAAAGTTGAGGCCTGGCCTCATTTGCTCATTACTGCGAGCAGGAGTGGGAGCCACTGGGCAGAGATAACAGGAGCTGGGGACAGGCGGTAATTTAGCAAATTCTTGGGCACAACCAGTTATTGTTGCAGGTAAACAGGAGCCGGTGACTGACCCAAGCAGGGAGGCCCAGGGTCGGAGGAGAGTGGGGGAGTGTGGAGAGAGATCACACTGCCTGGCCCCCTGGCCTCCGGTCACCCCATCACAGAGTAACCCCTCCTCTGACTTTCTCCTTTTCCCTCTCCCCTAGAGCAGGGGCCTGGGCCAGCGCCCCCTGGAGGGCCCAAGACACTGGGGAGCAGTGGGACAGCAGTAAAATGTTTTAGGAGTTTGAAAGCCAGAAAAGCAGCCTCCCCTCGGATCCAGCCCCCAGAAGGGTTGTTTCCAGGCAAGCTAGTTCCCTTCTCACAAATCCCTTCATGGGCAAAGCAGGTTCATGTCTTCCACACAAAGCGGGGAGCTCATAGACCAAAAGCGGGGGAGAGGGAGGGGAATTCAGTGATGCTTTGCCATTGGTTTGGAATGGTGGTGGTGGGGAGCCAAATGCTAGAGTCCAGAGAAGCCACGGGATGGGTCGCTGCAACCCTGACTCACCCAGTTCGGGCTAGGGGAGGGCCCTGGCCCCACCCCAAGCTGCTCCGGGAGGCATCAAGATTAGTAGGTATAGGGAGGGGCTGGGGGGGATGTAGCATCTCACCGCAGGCCTGGGATTTTTATCCTCCCTCTGCCCCCCGCCCCCCGACTCTGGTGACAAAGTTTCGGAGCTTGGCAGCCCTTCTACTCAGAAAACTCCTTCCTTCCTTAAGGTCCCGGTCCAGCTGTCCTCTGGGAAGAGTCCTGACCCTCTCCTCTGGCGGCCTCCCTCTACCAAAGGACCCCCGACGCCCGGAGGGCCACTCACTGTTTTGGAGTCGAGCTCGTGCCGTGACTGCGCCAGCACTTTATCCACCCCCGCCTGGTCCATGAAAGTGACGAAGCCGAAACCCCTGCGCGCGGCAGTGAGGGAGAGGCAGATGGTTACAAGGCAGTGAGCGGCGGTGGAGGGGGGCGAGCCGGGAGCAGGAGGCGGGGGTGAGGGGCTCACCTGGATCTCTTGGTCAGAGGGTCCCGCATCACCAGACACTCCTTCACCTCCCCGAACTGGCCGAAGTACTCGCGCAGCCCTTCTGTAACCACACACCCGCCTTCGGACCAGCTCGGGCCCCGCGCCCTTCCCCCCCCTCCCCCGTCCTTTGCCCCTGATGACCCCGCCGCGGCCCGGCCGCCCCCGCGCCAAGCAGCCTGCGCGCTCTCCACTGCTCCCCCTCCATAGCCCTCACCCAGCTCCCGTGGAGCCTTCTGGCGCCCACGGGGGCCCCAGGAAGCCGAGGGCCGAGCTGGGCTGGAGGGGGGACGGCTCCGGCCGGGTTCCCGCCGCTCCGGGAGCCGCCTCACAAAAGTTTGAGCCGCAGGTGCGAGCGGAGTTGGCGCTGCCGCCGGCGGGTCCCGGGGGCCCAGCCCACCCCCCGATGCCCCCTGAACCCCTCATCTCCTCCCTTCCACCCGCTGGGCCATGCGCGCTCGCCGATCGCCCTGCGCTCTCGGGGTCCCCGGGCGGGGCGCGAAAGAGGGCGCGGGGGCGCCTGGGGTCAGCCGGGCGCAGGGCCGGGCTGGGGTGTCCGATTCCGGGGCGCCGGGGGGGGGTCCAGGGTGCCCTGCCTTGGCCGGCGGGCGCTCCCGGGCTCGCTCACCCTGCGTAGTCTGCCAACTGAGTCCCCCGATGAACATCTTGCTGCGGGAGGAGGAGAGACACAAAGGGCCCGCGTGAGCGCCGGGCGCCAGGGCGCAGGGGGCGAGGGCCCGGGCCCCGGGGAGGCCCGGCCCGACCCGGATCGGCCATGTTGGCGGGGCCGGGGCGGGCGCGGGCCGGGCAGGCCGGGCCGGGCCGGGCCGGGCCGTACCAGGGGTCGTGCGGCGAGTCCGGGGAGGCGAGGCCGGGCTGGGGCGCGTCAGTCTCCATCGGGAGCCGCGGGCGGCGCGGGCAGCGGAGCGGCGGCGGCGGCGGCGGCGGCAGCGCTCGGCGCGGGGCAGATGAGGAGCGCGGCGAAGGGGGCCGGACGGACAGGCCATGCTGCCCCCTCCCCCGACCCCGCTCGGGCGGGCGGGCGGGGACGGCCGAGGGGAGGGCCCGCCGGGGGCCGACCTGCCGGCTCCTCCCCCCGCCGCCCTGCGCGCATAAAGCCCCGCGCTCGCCGGCGCGCCCGGGCGCCGGCGGAGGCGGCGGCGTCCGGACCCCGCTCCCGCCGGGCTCCCGGGTCCCCGAGGGCGAGCGAGACCCCGAATCCGGAGGCGGGCCGGGACCAGGGCGCGGCCGCACCCCCCCACCCACCCCAGCGCGGGGCCGGGCCGTGGGAACGCCCTCCCGGAATGAAGCGCTTCCCGGTGCCTTCAAGGTAGCTCGGTTCCGGATCGGGGATCCCCTAGTCCTCCCTCTCAGGTCCCCGCTATCCAGAATTTAAGAGCTCCCCAATCTCCCTGGGTCGGGAGGGAGATAGCCCCAGTGCCCTCCCATGCCCCCCCCCGCGTTCCAACTGGTGGAGGAGCCCTCCGTTCCCCGCAGTGGGAATGAGAAGCTGCCCCCAATTTCCTCAGAGCCTGATTCAGGGCTCCCCCTCAACAGCCCTGAGTCCACTCCCAGTGTCCCATATCCTCTCTGTCCAATTTGGGGAACCCTTTCAGTGCCTCGCGTCTCGAATGGGGAGACTCCATCAGCACCCCAGTAGAAACCGTGCCAGTTTCCTGAATCCCTTCCCAGCCCCTGCTGTCGCCTTCAACTCCCCCAAATCCCTTCTGTATGGTCTATTGAGGAACCCCCCTATTCCAAGCCCGGGTTCCCCGTTTGCTGCCACCCGCACCCCCCAGTGTGAGGAGTCTTCACTGTTTCTCTCACTCCTGGCTCACTTGTCAGCCCTACTCAGACTTCTGGTTGGATTCGGGAAAGCCGGTTCCGGACGCTCACCGGCCCTCCCCACGGAGGCTGGGGGAGAGGTCAGTGCCGCTTAGAACCTCCCGTTTCCAGTTTAGGAGGCCGCCGGCTCAGCTGTGCACCTTCCCCTCCGAATGACCCCCTTCTTTTGCAGAGTTCTAAGCCCAACCCCATCGGATTGGAAGACCCTCAGCTGCCTACCCACTGCATTTGGAGTTACTTCTCTCAATCCGCCTCAGTTTGAGACTTACTCCCCATGAAGGCAAACGCCTTCACTTCCTCCTCCCTCCGCCTCCATCTCCTGGGTCTCTGAGAGCCCCTCCCGGACTTTCACCCTAGGCTCCTAGGAGTCACCTCGACCTCCCCCAAATCTTCCTCCCTCCAGCCCGGGAACCCTAACATCCATTCTGATCACCTCCGGAGCTGGAGGCCACCCTCCCTATCCCCAGCTCGCCATATCCATCTCCTCTCCTCAATTCCCTGGCTGAGACCAGCCAAGAAAGGGTCAAAACCCGAGGCCAAGACAGCCACTCCTCCCACACCCTCATCCCTGCTGGGTATCTCAGTGCCACACAAGCCCCTCCCTCCCAACTCACCTCCCACTCCTTCCCCCTTCTCTACCTTAAATCTACCCTGTATAACCCAGTGACAACCCTTGATGACAAACCCTTTGCTGCTCACCTTGACATCCATCCTTCAGTCATCCACCTTTTATTAATGTGTACAGCAGCTCTGGGTGGCCTATCCCTGACCTCTGGAAGGGTGCCCATCCCCCTCTTCTCAGTATACCTTCCCTCCCCCTACCCCAACCACCACACATGTAAGAACGTGAGAGACTCAAGTTAATGGTTTCCTTGGGGACCTTCTGGGAACACTCAGCAGGTACATCCTGCCACCCTGTGTGCATAACACTAGAAACAAACTTGCTTTTTCCTGTTTTTATTGCCCTACTTACCCCACAGTTTCTCAGCATCCCCTGGACTGGGGGTGGGGGGGCACCTCACCCAGGGTATTTTTCACCACCTCAGTAAAACTGGAACATCAGGTGTGTCCCAGATGAGGGTCAGCAGGTAGCGAATCCTGTGTTAGGGAACAGGCTATTGGTAGATCTAAACTTCAGTTTCCTTGTGTGTAAAATGGGGCCAGTGGGGAGGTACAGGGCAGGGGTTGGGGGGGCGAGTGAGCATTGATTTGTGTACTGATGCTGTTGGACAGGTGGCTTGGAGGTAGGAAATGGGTAAGGGTCATTTACTTAGAGCCAGCCAAGTCTGCATATATAGTACATTGAGATAGGATCCATTTATTAGCGTTCTCATTCAGGTCCTTGGAGGAGGCAGCATCTCATCTACTTGTTGTCACTACCTGGTTTGAGGCACAGTGGACTTAGAGAAGTCTCCTCCTACCATAGGTTCATCTCAGCCTAGCTGCTTCAGTCCACTTTGTTCCCAGTAGGGGTAGCCCTCACAGGACAATGCAGCTGTAAATCCATGATCCTTGTAGTAAATTGAGGATCTCAGTGGTATTAAGGAAAAATGATCTTTAGAGCAACTGGCCCAGACTCCAGAATTAGGAGATTAGAGGACGGTGTTACAGCTCTTTCTCTCTACTACTACGCACACCGAGCATCACTCAGAGAATGAAAGAACAATTTGCTTTATAGTTAAAAAAAAAAAAAATCCTTTCCAGAAAGCCAAGGGACAAATGACATTATGCCCAAGCACTAAGATGCAACTTGGCACATTCATTCATTCTACAAATATTTACTGAACACCCGCTACCTGCCAGACACTACCTTGAATACTATATTCCTAGCACTACCTTTGTGAAACTTGCTTTCTAGAAACAGGAGTCAGATAACAAATAAATAGATAGGTAGGTAAATAAATAATATGTCAGATGTTGGTAAGTGCTGTGGAGGAAGGAAGGGTGGGAGCCATGGAAAAGCGGGTGATAAGCAATTTTAAATCAGTAAATTTATAGGGAGGAGTGATGTTTTAGCAAAGACTTGTAGGAATGGGTACATTAATCTACTGTTCTGACCCGGAGCTCTCCTTTAAGCAGAATGTCTGCATCTCTTGAGTGCAATAATAATTGATATTCGTAATTTGACTTTCATTACTCTAAAACAGTGGTTCCCAAACCCTAATGTGCGTAAAAAATCACTCAGTGATTTTCAGTAGACACACGGTGGATGGGAGTTTTGAAGAATGCATTTTTTAACAAGCGCCTCTATCAGATGACGCCGATAGCTGAGGTTTTCTTCAGACCACTCTTGAAGAAACATTGCTTTAAAATACACTGAAGAATCTTCTAGAATGACAACAACAACAAAATTAAAGATTAAATTACAGTCCCTGTGGTTTTCGTGTTGAGAGTATTTCACTGTGTTTTCATTCTTTGAAAAAGCAAAGACCCAAGCAAAACCCTGGATTACCCAGAACATTCCATTTCTTGTCCATACAGGAGAAGGGAAATTTTATCGTAAGCTGATTAGGAGCCAAATATTTATAATCAGTGTGTTTGCACCGTTCCCATCATTTTGGCCCTAATTTGTCTCTGTTTTTGTTTTTTTTTTTCCTTCTCCCAAATTTCGGACTCAACCAGGAGGTGATGGGCTAGGGTAATGAGAGCACGTGACAGGTTTGTCCTGGAATCGCCAGTTTCTGGTTGAGTCATTCTAGGGGTATACCACTCAGCCTCCTGAGCTTCCATGTATTATCTCAGTTGCTGCAAGATTTGGGCGAGCTCATATGTATGAAAGCACCTTAAAAATTCTAGAGCACTATGGAAAGATATGGAAGCTCTGGGACGCTGCATTCCCAGGTCCAGTTAATTTGGCCCAGCTCAAATTCAGTTACCTTCAAGATAGTGTGGGACCAGCATAAGGATATACCTACAGATCAACAGAATAGAATTGAGAATCCAGAAATAAACCCTCACGTTCACAATCAACTGATTTTTTTTATTAGGGCACCAACACAATTCAATAGGGAGAAATAGCCTCTTCAAGAAATGATGCCGGGACAATTTGATGTCCACATGCAAAAGAATTAAATTGCACTGTTACCTCACACCATATACAAAAATCAACTCAAAATGAATTGAAGACCTAAACGTAAGATCCAAATTTATGTTTTAAGATATTTATTTATTTGAGAGAGAGAAAGAGCGAGAGCACAAGCAGGCAGAGGGGCAGAGGGAGAGGGAGAAACAGGCTCACTGCTGAGCAGGGAGCCCAACGAGGGGCTCAATCCCAGGACCCTGGGATCCTGACCTGAGCCGAAGGCAGATGCTCAACCGACTGAGCCACCCAGGTACCCATAAGATCTAAAATTATTTAAAAAGATCAGTCAGGGGTGCCTGGGTGGCTCAGTCGTTAGGCGTCTGCCTTTGGCTCAGGTCAGGATCCCAGGGTCCTGGGATCAAGCCCCACATTGGGCTCCCTGTTCCACGGGAAGCTTGCTTCTCCCTCTCCCACTCCCCCTGCGTGTGTTCCCTCTCTCACTGTGTCTCTCTCTGTCAAATAAATAAATAATAAAAATAAATAAAAATAAAAAGATCAGACATCATTAAATTAAAAACTTCTGTGCTTCAAAGAACACCATCAAGAAAGTGGAAAAACAACACACAAATGAGAAATTTTTTGCAAGTCATATATTTGATAAGGGACTTATATCTAGAATATACAAAGAAGGCATACAACCCAAAAATGAAAAAATAAACAAGTCAATTAAAAATGGGCAGAGGAGGGGCACCTGGCTGCCTCAGTCGGAAGAGCATGAGACTCTTCATCTCAGGATCATGAACCCCTGGTCAGGTGTAAAGAGGACTTAAATAAATAAATAAATAAATAAATAAATAAATAAATAAACTTTAAAAAAATGGGCAAAGGAAGAAGATCTATAAGTTGTTGATAAGCACTTGAAAAGATGCTCAAAATCATTAGCCATCCAGAATACAAATCAAAGCTATGATGAGATACCGCCACACAACCACTAGGGTGGCTATAATCAAAATGATAGATGACAACAAGTCTTGGCGAGGATGTGGAGAAATTGGAATCTTTATACATTGCTGGTGGGAATGTAAAATGATACAGAATATGAAGTCTGGAAAA